CTGGCTACTTTTAAATAGTAATTTGCAAAATTTCTTTGGCCTTTATGCTCTCTAAAAGAATTTTGGAAAATAGTAGACCTGCTGGCACATTTTAAGATGACTTTTAAGTTATAAATTTAATAGTTGCAAAGGATGTGGTTTAGTCCATATCCTGTATATACTTGTAACATATTTTGCCAAATCCTTGAATTGGTAGATTTAGCTCATTCAACCTGTATGTCTCCTATACTATCTATCAAGCAAATCCAGTTCAGATTTTAATCCAATAAACCAGTATTATTTTTTCCAAGGAAGAGTTTAGATTTGGTTTTTTAATTTAAGTAAACCATAATACTTTTATCCCTCTGACAAACATCTCATTTTAAAATTCCAAGATAGGCCTATATATAGATAGGTCATACATAGAGCCTTAAAATGAATTTGTCCCCTACATGAAATAAAGTACTGTTCCATGAACATTTCTCACTTATGATCTTTTTGTTTGGTTGTCACTTCCCTTAGGAGTTACATATCCACAATGTATTCCTTTGTTTGGTTCCCCAAGACTTTTATATCCTGAATAATGAATAATGGTATGATTGAGGATTGGTAAAACATGTTTTCTTTTGTGAAACAGGAGAAATCAGAGGTGACAAAGGATAAGCTTAATCTCAAATAGACACATTTTGGGAAAAAATACACATAGAAGTAGAAGATCTGAAAAATAATTCCCTTAAAACTATACATGCATACTATATTCCCCTGGAAATAATATACTCTCAAGGATATGCTTCCCCAAATTTGAAGAGTGCTGGCGTGGGTGATAATATGCGCCATGGTTAGAGAGGTGTTTTCTCTGTGGGAATAACGAGTTGAAGCATGATTCCACTCTACGTCTATCCCACTATGTTTCAATTCTCTCCGAAGTACTCTCTGAACTGTTGAGAATAGGATAAATTCATCTTCTATTGACAACACTAACCATGGAACATACTGTGCCCTGTCCCCATATTCCATCTCTAGGGTTAAAATTCCTGCTCCTTGATTGCTCATTATCTGTCATGTTTTTCATTCCTTTTACCCTTCCAGTGATCTGTACATAAAGGATATAAAAACTAAAATTTTCTGAATTTTGCTGCCCCAAACAGCATAATACTTTTATTTCCAAGATAAAATTTCAATCTTAGTAATTTCCTTGCAAAAGCCCTTCTGTTTATCAAATGTTTGCTCTGTGCTTGGCACTTAAAATAGCTCTGCAAAAAAGATACCATTACCATTATTATTATTCCTATTTTACAGATGAGAAAACTGAATTGGAAAACAACTGAATAACTAGCTCTGTTCAGAGCTTTGTTTATTAATTAGTGGCTGGCTGAACAAGTAGTTGATTTAACAGTAACATGAGAACATATTGAGAACATACAGGCTTACCTCTGTAGGTTACACAGGGCCCAGAGTAAAGGAGATAGTAAGATCAGCTCAGATGTCAGCATCAGCTGCACATTCTCTGAAAAGGTCTCTGCATATCTAGGTGGAACCTGGCATGTGACCTGCTGCATGGTGATCCATAGAGACCTGGATAAGTGACCTGGTACAGTTCAGTGGTTTCCAAACAAGACTCTGCTCAGGTTAAGGAAGTCTGTATGGTCCTATAGACTGCGTTTGGGGGGAGACAAAGGGCCACACCATGAGGACTTCCTATTTTCCCTCCTCTACTTCAAACATCTCTGCTTTTCTCTATTCTTACTTATTTACTCCAATCAGAAGTAGACAGAAATACAGATAAAATAAAAATGAAAATAAAGTAGAGACACACACATGCAGACCGAGGCAGAGAAACATGACAAGAATACTAACTTTGGGATCAATTTGTCTGGGTTTGAGCCCAGTAATATTGTTAGTAATATATTTATTGGGTGAGTCAGGCACGTTTTTTAAAAACTATTTTGAACTTTAGCTTCCTTACATGTATAGCAGGTACTCAAACATTTTTGTTGAAAAAAATAAGTGAGTGAATTAGTGCATGAATAAGTAAATAAAATTAATTTTATTTAGCAAAAATAACTGTAGGGTTGTTGTGAGGATTATTGGTAATTTAGAGTTTAATACAGCCTGGTCCTTAGTAAGTGTTCTGCAAATAATAATAATAGCTATTATTAATTATTAATTCAGTGCTTCTTTGATTGATGCACAGGTATCCATGTGGAACTTCTCTCTAAGCTAGCAGAGGTCCTTCATTAAACATGGGAGCAAGTATTATATACTACTGAATGTTTGGAACATACCTTAGTCCTCAGAGGATTTTCCATGAAGGAAAGAGTCTAGGAATCTCAGAAGCTTTTTGGTTTTCCACTCTTGTGGAGTGTGGTTTGGGAAGTTCAATGGTTAAAATGAGTGGCAACCTGTTATACAGAAGCCTTGCCACTGTGCTAGATATGTCAAAATTATATGGAAATTCAGTGGGACCAAAATCCTATAGCCCGAGAGAAATTCTTATTTGCCCTCTCTATTCTTTGAGCTTGAATCATACCACCAGTGACATCCAAGCCTATGTACTTACCAATTTGTCCTCTGCATAAGAAAAGTGTGAATCTACAGCCTATTTTTCTTGAAAGAGAAGAGGAGAAAAATGTACTGAGCTTCTGACCTGGAAATGTCTGACTAATCTACTTAAATCACTTCCAGTTACATATCATTGTCTCATGAATCCCATTCATCTGCTATAGAATATAAGTTCTCTAGGGTAAGACCTTGTCTTTCCATGGGTTGTATAAAAATGGCCCAGACACTTTTAGCACTGCTGGTCTAACAGATGGTTCTCATTTGTAACAAAAGGTTAAAGAACAGTGGCAGCCTCATGTGATGTCCTAAAAGCTGGTGTACAAGAAGAATCCCATTACATGTATATTATAATCCCATTGCAACATATTCTAGCAAAACCCACTAATCCCTCAAATCTAGAAAGCAGATCATTGAGAGTTAATTATAATTATGTGTAGAGTCTTTGCTTTATAAGACAATCTTCTTTTTTCTGTTATAAAGAGTCTCTTTAAATAGCTAGATCTCCTTTTGGAGTATTCAAAAATGGATTTGCTTTCAAAATGTTGATTAGAATCAACTTTTCAGGAGCAAAGAGAGTGTGCAAAAATGGGGCATTGCCTGTCAGGTGTCAGTGGCGAAGTCTTCAGTGATCAGAATGAAACTAACAAAAGGTTCACCAGTTCTGTCAGCTCACCAGTCAGAATGCCCAAACACAGAAGGTGACTTTTTCAGGCATAAGGTACCCTCATCCAGGAAAGAAGGTTACACTAGGATGGAGGTCACTGCCATCATTAACTGTGTGGCTTTGGCAGTCAAGGGTATCAGTCTGTGGTCTGAAGCAATCACGCATTATTCAGCATGTACTGAATTATTAGCTTAAATAGACATAGATTTTTATTGAGACAGTTATGAAAATAAAGCTGATTACATTTTTTTTCTTTTTGTGGTGCTGGAGATAGAACCCAGGGCCTTCCATGTGCTAGGCAGACACTAACACTGAGCTACTCCCCCAGCCTAAGATGACTTGTATTTAAATAAATAAAAATAAAATGGACAGGGGTATGATGTATTACTTCTTCTATATATGTCATGAGCAATAAGAGGAAAAGGAGAGTTTGGAATAGGCCTATATTGTAACACAAGGTCAGAAGGAGGGGCCCCAATATTATAGGCAGACAACTATTTTCTCTCCATGTCAGACCCTCTTTCTTTATAAGTACAGCAAATATAAGAAGATAAGTGAGTGTCAGTCATTCTTGCTAGCTCACATTTTTGATGCAAAGCAGGAAACCCACAATTTATACTGCATTGTTCAATTCAGCAAGTTTAATTATTGTACAGGTATTGCAGTAGATTCAAAACCAGGAAGAGAACAAGATGGGGGTTGGGGGGGTGGGAAGGCCTGGGAGGGAGGTAGACTGCACATTTAGTAAGACATCTGAGTGCTTTCAGAGACCATGCAAAGTCTTTAGCTAGGTTCCATCATGGCTTTTCCCATTTTAAATGCATAGTTCCTATTTATTCCACCCCCAGCAAGGGTCCTAAACCAGTTCACTAGTCTCTGATAAGATTTCTGCAGGCAGCTGAGGACCCTTCCAGAACTTCTATCCAGTTTGCAGAAAGGCTATTCTTAATACTATAGCAAACACACCAAGTGCTTTTAACAAAAGTTAGTGTCAATGAAGGAGTACTTTGTGAGAGGTACAATACTCAGAAATTTCATAGGGCATTCATTTGTGCTCTCTTCTGAGTAATTTCATCTTCCTGCTTTATAAACTTGTGTATACTTTGTGTGCTCATGGATGTGCAGATTGTCAGGACAAGGGGTGTTTAATACATTGATTAAGTCTTGGGCCTGGAGATGAACATGTGAGGGAAGAGAGTGGGCTCACGAATCAGATGGAATGAAAGGTAAGTTGGAGACCAGTAGAGATGAAAAGGGATAATTTGGGTTATTTGATTCATGTTTAGGTTTGTGTTCCAGGTTGTGCCACACTTGCGTTGACAAATTTCCCTGCCACTTCTGTAATGCATGCACGAAGGGCAGCACAGACAGACAGGATTTGGGGGCTGGAGGGATCCTCATGTCACCAGGGTAAAATCTCATCTGTACTCTAAGGGAGACGCTTCTCTAGGGTGCCAAATGCGTTCCTGAGATTATCTGGGAAAAAGGTTGGGGATGAGGAATTCGACAGCTGAAGAACTGAAGCTTCAACCTTCCCTGCAAGGGAGTGCTGTAGGTGGGTTGCTGGCAGGGTGGGGGTGGTGGCGGTGGCGGTGGGGGTGGGGGTTGCTGCTCCTAGTCCCGGGGGAAGGGGAAGCGCAGGAAACTGAGAATGCGCGTGCCAGAGGCTCACTATGCCAGGACAAGGTGTTGGGGTATGAGAGTGGGTGGGGGCCTGAGGGGTGGCTTGGAGCCCTGGCGGTGGCTGCCTGACGTCACCGGCCTCTCTGGCAATAGGCTGGGAGCTGAGCTCCCTGAAGCAGCGGCGAAGGCGGCGGCGGTGGCGGCGGCAGCGCGGCTCGGTCTTCTGGCCCCTTCACTCCGCGCCTTCTGCAGCCGCCACTGCAGCCGCGCGGCGGGGGCTCCGTCCCTGCAGTCAGCTGGCGGCTCCAGGTAAGACAATGGTCCGATTGAAGGCATCCGATGGCCGGGAGGCCCACGGGCGGGGTGTGAGTGGGGAAGGACAGCTCCCGCGGCCTGCGCAGGCACCCCTGGCCACAGCCGCGGCCCCCGCCCTGCCCCGGCCCTGGCTTGCGCGCCGCCTCGCCGCTCCGCAGTGCAACAGTTTGCAGCTGCCTCTGGGGAGCGGCAAGGAGGCTCTGCTGCGCCCTGCGGGTCCACCTGGCTCGGTCCCCAGAAACAGCCCGAGGGCCCTGGGCTGGGGTGGGAAGGTCAGAGAGAAGGTCCGTTCCCCAAACTTTGCAGGCGGGAACCCTCCCCCGTCCAGTTCTAGCTCCCTTAGAAAGAATCAGAATACTGTCAAGTGGTGGACACGGGGAGATTGGGCTGAAGAGGCGTTTGAGGGGAAGGTGCTTCAGCTGAGAAAGGTGGTTCAGCTGCTTTTTGGGGGGCGGAAGGAGGGGGCAGGGAGGAAGATGCCGGGGAAGAAGGCTGAAGAAAGGACCCGGCACGATCTTGTGCGTCAGCCGCGGCCGCGGACATGGTGCCAGGGGTACCCTCCGGGAATGGGACCTAAGGGATCTGACGCCGTCCGGGGAGGAAGAGTCTGGAAAGGTGGGGGGAACGGGACTGGGTACCCGGAGCCCGCTTAGCGGCTCGGAGTGGTGCTGGGGAGGGTAGGATCCAAGCGAAGAGGTCCCCAGGGCGCAGGCAAAAGGAGAGTCGGTGTTCTGGGAAGTAGGGAACGCCATTGGAGGCGGCTGTCGTGTTTATTGCAATTAGAAAGTTGCGAAGGACGCGGGGAGGCTGCCTTATCTGCTGAGTAATCTGCACCTCCGCGGTGCGGGCGCAGACCCCTTCCGAGCGAGTGGCGCGAGCCGCAGCTGGCTGCACTTGCGCTTGCCGGGAGCGGTGGGGCTGGGGTCCGCGGGCTGCGGACCAGAGCGACAGCGCCCAGTTGAGACGGCGTGCTCAGAGGGCCGCTTTGCAGTGGTGGCAGATCCCCGTCGTTCTTTGCACTTCCCTTGGCAGCTGCCGGGACCCTAACTAAGCCTGTTCTCTTTGCAGCAGGGTACCTCTGCGAAGGAAAAGGCTGGTGGAGACACGTTCAAGGCGGGACCGGAGAGGATCTCCTGGGCGTCACTAGCTCTCCGGCCGGCTTGCTTGCCAGCAGTCGCTCCCTCAGTCCTTGGCTTGCGCGCACAACTCCCTCCCGCGCCAGGGAGTAGTTTTGGGTGGCGTGGGCTCTGTCCTCTTCTTGACTGGTGGGAACGGTGTGCCCAAGAAAGGAAGCCTGGTGGGCCTGGCCCCTCCCAGCCCAGCTCCGATGAGTGCCAGGGCGCCGAAAGAGCTGAGGCTGGCGCTGCCGCCTTGTCTCCTCAACCGGACCTTTGCCTCCCCCAACGCCAGCGGCAGCGGCAACGCAGGTGCCCGCGGTCCCGGCGCAGGTGGCGGCGGTGGCACCTGCATCACGCAGGTGGGACAGCAGCTCTTCCAGTCTTTCTCCTCCACGCTGGTGCTGATTGTCCTGGTCACACTCATCTTCTGCCTCATCGTGCTGTCCCTTTCCACCTTCCACATCCACAAGCGTAGGATGAAGAAGCGGAAGATGCAGAGGGCTCAAGAGGAGTACGAGCGGGATCACTGCAGTGGCAACCGCGGAGGAGGTGGGGGTCTGTCCCGGGCAGGTGGTCAGGCCCCAACCCATGGAAAAGAAACCCGGCTGGAAAGGCAGCCCCGGGACTCTGCTTTCTGCGCCCCCTCCAATGCCATCTCTTCCTCCTCCTCCCCCTCCTCTTCATCTCCTGGCCTCCCATGCCAGGGTCCCTGTGCTCCTCCGCTTCCACCACCAGCCCCCAGTCCACAAGGAGCACAGGCAGCTTCTTCCTGTTTGGACACAGCTGGCGAGGGCCTTTTGCAAACGGTGGTACTGTCCTGATTGTCGAGCTCTTTTCCTCACCCCTTCCTCGTTTCCAGCATCTTTGTCATCCTTGCTTTTTTCCCCTCCTTCCTTCCTTTTCCATTTTCCTTTGTCCCCCCTTTCTTTCCTCTCCCTTCTTTCCTTATCTGCCCTCCCCTTTACTCTGTTTCTCCTCTGCCGAGGCACTGTGCGGTATTTGTAAATATTGGGCGAGGAAAGTCTCGGAAGAAGAAATAACGCTGATAATAGTTTATTAATATTTATAGTAATTATTACAATACTAATAACACAATCCAAGCGCATGACAAATCACATGATTTCTCATTGTCAATGAAAGATGCATCTTCCTTCCCCACCCCAGTGTCCCCCTCAATAAGGAGGAGAAACCGCACAAGCTACCAAATATATAAAAGGCATTGACACCTGGAGCAAAGGGAGGCGAGGGGGCCCAGGATTGTTGTATATAGCTGTCAAGTTAGGGTTTAGTTACCTTCCTGCCCCTCCTGCCAAGCTTTCACTTTTCTTTTAGCTTCTCTCCCCTCCCCTTTTCTCACCCTCAGCCGGGCTCAGCTAATAGTATATTATAAAGGAAACTTCTACATTAAGCACCAGGACAAGAGACCACAGAAAAAGTCCCAGAAAAAACGTTTAGAACAGGTACCCCTCTCTAGTCACCCATCTTTCTCACTCTTTGGTTAACCATTACCTTTTCCATGGCAGACAATTTTAATTTACTTTTAGAAATATCTCTCGCTGGCCGAGCACAAAATCTTTAAATGAGTTCAACAATCTGCTTTCGCTCCCTGCCCTGCCCCACGTGTACACCAATTAGTAATTAGTGGCATTTTCAGACGTCAGAGGATCCAGGAGCTGTCCAGTCAGGTCTGGTGCTGAAAACGCCTCACCTTTATGATAACTTCCTTTGATTGTACAGGCCAAGGAGGGGCTGTTTTAGAAAGTGACTCTACTGGTTTTGGTTGGTTTCTTTCTTCTTTTTCTACATTCGGGTTAGAGTGTACTGTTGGTTTCCTTATTATTAAACGTTGCTTAAGTTACCTTTTTGTAAAAAAAAAAAAAGTATTAGGTGATGTGCAGTACTGAAAATGCAGTATCTAACCAACCAGACTGTTTCTGTTTTATTTTTTAGAACAAGTGTACCTTTATTATATATTTATTATATTGGTACCAAATACAGAAGAAAACTATAGTTCTGTACTACGTCCTTTAAACTGTATATTCTTGTTCTTACTTTCCAGCTGTTGATATAATGGTTACCACTGGATGAGGAATTCAGTGGTACAGGCCTGGCTTCTGCTGTTTCCAGAAGTATTCTTTTGTATCTTACTCTGTAGTAGACTGTTATAAAAAGATGACACGTATGTTTTCTTTTTTCTTCTGTGAATAACAAAAACGACCACCACAACAGAAAACAAACCAGTAATGGATGTGCAGGAATGCCATCTATTAAAACATGGTTAATATTTAAACAGTGCCTGTAGTGCTCCTGCATGCAGTTACCACCTGGAGACAGTGGTGTGTGTGCTTGCTTGTACTGTATGTGTTTGGGGAGAGACTGGTGGGGATGTTGGGCAATTGGGATGACAGGACATGCAAATTTCAAGAGAAGTTAAATCAGCAAATACTTATAGGATAAAAATCTTTACAGTTTGTTTTGTTACAAATTTGTGTCTGCATTTGCAGTACAGCAAAGGTGGGGCTCTCTTGTCTTCTGAGTCTGGCTTAGCTAACTTCACTGAATACATGAAAAAATATCAAGTAAAAAGGAAAGTGAGAGGGAAGATACATATTTTGTTCTCTCGCTTAATGCTAGAGGAGCCCATCTGTGTTAGAAATGGGCTCTACCAATGGGTATTTACTACTTCATTTCCCTTGGATAGATGGCAGAAGCATATCATAATCTTAATTACATGCCGTGACATCCCTTCTTGGAAATTAATTCTTTAATAGCTGTTCAGACATTTGGAATTATATGAAAGAGAATTATCTACAAAAAGCTTAACCAAAAGAGTACTTATTATGCTTCTGGGTGAAATGTGACAGTGCCCCAAGTGCATCCCTCTCCCAAGTAACTAGCTGTTTAGACTCTGTTTTGGTTACAGGCATATGTGCTCTTATCAAGAGAGAATATTGCCTCTTATGTTTTTGGTCATCTATCTATTTGTTCATCAAGCTCAGTGTGCATCTTTTATTAAAATAATTTAATAAGTTTAATTTTAGCCACCCATTGTATATTCACCCAAGTCCTTTCTGAAGCACAGAAAACCATTTAAGCTTATCATGTTATAATATTAGGAAGATCAGGTATAATCTTTGGATACAATATATTAAACAATGAACCACACTCTCTCCAGTGCCTTAGTCACTTTCTAGTAATAGGTAAAAGAGTACATTAACTCCTTCAGACCACTAAGGAATCCTTTAGTGCATCAGAGCTCTATGTTGTACATCAGAATGACTAAGGCACTGTGAAGAAGAAAGTCCATTAATTTTTGTAGTTTACCCTCATTCAGCTGTAGCTCTTTAATACCTCCTTAAAGAATGGCTTTTGAACTTGAAATTGGAATAGAATCAGGAATCCAGCTGGAGCTTCTTCATTTCCAGTGAACTCTACTAATGTGCATAGATATTACTTTCTTCCCCTTATTTGGTGCACTTCTTTGTACACTGAATAATTTCCCATTTTATTAAAGCAATAAGATATTCTGTTGTGAGCAATGCTAGATGATGATTCCATTTCCTTGGTGCTGAAGCTACTCATATGTTCTTGCCTTATGAATCACAGTGTGTTCAAGGCATGCAATAACAATCCCCTTCCAAGGAGCAGCCTGTATACCCTAGAGGATAATGTCCTATATAATTTTTCCCTAAAGGAATAGGGGGAGTAAGAGAAGTAAAATAATTATGTAAGTTAGAAAAATGTTGATACCTCCAAATATGGGCACACATCTGTACTATGTTGTTATTATGCACCTTAAATGTGTGTGCCTTTCTCCATTAATTGACTATGGTTTAATATTTTTAATAGTGTCCTGTGTAGAGGCAATGCATTTAGTTAATCAAATTTCATACTGAGATCAATCTGCTCAGAATTCTAAGCTTTTGGCGGTGTCACATAAGATTTCCATGAGCTACAATGAGAATTACATGAAATTCTAGTAAGCCCAATTATTGCAATAGGCACACATCCAACTTATTTGTATAGGCCCTGTTTAAAGCATGACTTATTGTAGAGTTAAGTTGAACATCCTAGGAGTTTGGGATGCTACCCACAAGGCATTTTGGTTTTCACTTCTATGAAACAAAAGGCAATATGGAAATAGCTAAATTTTTAAAAGGATTTTATTCACCAATGTCCCGTCAAACTAATTGCTTCAAACCCCTATAGCTACAGCTCAACATATGCACTTTCTATTCAATATTAATAAGGTGGCATGCTTGATTCTTATTGTTTTTAAAAATGAGAAAATTGGAGAGAGAATGCCATTATGTCAACTGTATGGGACTCTGAGTCTTTAAGATATAGACAGATATAATCTTTAGAATTTATAAACACCCTTAGATATGTATTTATATATGCATACATTTTGTACAATTTACAATGGACTTTTTGTATTCTCTTTTCTGTCATTACAAGAATGAGATGGAAACCAAACAGTTGTTCCATCCTCTTACTCCAGAGAGGATACTGAAAAGTAAGGTATATGCATGCATTTATTTCTCTGGGATCAAATATGGATAACTTTCTCTTTACTTAATGAAAAGAGAGAGTCCTGGTTGGCTAGAGAAATTGGTAATTAGATAAGCTTCCTTTCTAATGTTAGTGACTCAAATGTAGTGATGATAATGAAGTATGACTGCATCAGTGTGGTCCAAATATCCAGATGGAATGCAAAAATATCCAGAAGAGGCTTAGGGCTATCTAGACCACAATCCTGGGTTGTGGTTTGATTTTTTTTTCATTTTCAGCATATATGTTGCGTGAGATACAACTTATATCTGCATAGCTAAAGGTAAAATGAAAATGTAACCATTATTTGTTTAGTTTTATAAGTAGCTTTTGAAAAACATGGAGAAATTAGCTTAAAAATTCTTTGGCATCTGGCTTTTCCGCCATTTCTATCTGTATCAATTGAATTAATTAGATAATGGTTAAAATGTTATTTTTGCAATGTGTAGACATAGGCTTTAAATGCTTTTCTGTGGATGACAGCTAAGCAACTGCTATTATGTGGAAGATGTGGGCTAAATTAGAACCAGAAATTTTAATATAATATGTACAGGCTCCTGGAGTCCATTCCTGTGAGAAGCTGGACTTTGAATTTGAATATGAAGAGCCACTTATTCTTTTTTGGAAACAGTGATTGTGGTTCTCAGGTGTTTCAGGTCATATAAGAATGAATTGCCCCATCTATCTATCATTACACTGAACATAAATCTGCATCTCATTTTTCTAAATTTGGTAACATTTGATAAACAGCTTATATGACTTGACATCAATACTTATTAGTGTCTCCAGCCTAATAGTACAATTGGTTCCCAGTAGGAATGCTTAGATGAGAAGGAGAATTTAAGTAACGTTAACTGGGGACAATGATTTACCAAGGTTGTCTTACCTGTTTGAGGCAGGAATGTTTCTCTGAGAATTGTGACGGCATTGGGTTATTTTTATAGAGAGATTAACATAACAACAGTGACAACACCAATAGAAAAAACTGATTTTGAACTTGAGTATATCTGACAGATAGAATAAAACAGATATTAGAACTCATGAAAAAAAACTTGTTTTGCTTTTGTATCAATAAAAGAGTTTTCTTGTTAATTGGCATTTTGGACACTATTTCCTTATTAATTTAAGTATAATACAGTAGCTTACAAAATTACTCATCCATCTACCTTCAGATACAATTTTTCTAGAAGAGACTGTTATTTAAAATTTTTTATAATTCATCTGCTCTTCCTCACAACCAACTGAGTCTCTGAAGTGGGAAGTGGATAACTCTTAATATAACTGAGTAGCTAAGTCTAGTATGATAGTTTAGGGTCCCTTTTGGCAGCTAGTCAGTCTCTTGAGGTCATATGCTTAGGCTATTAGATTTTCTCTTTCTCTGCTTACCCTTCTCTAAAATAACCTGGTGTATCCAGGAAGGGTTGTAGTTGACATGATTTTGTCCCATTTTGAGAAAAGAGATGCCTCAGATTCGTGTAAATTTAATTGGATCCTAGCTGAACCCTGCCGAAACACAGTTGGTCAGAACTGCTCCCTAGTCTGAGATGCTATTGCCCCATCCTGATTTTGTTCTGACGTTCATCACTACAGTCTTAGACCTTTTGACCCCAGTCCCAAAATCATCATCCGCAGGAATCTAATCATCCGGACCCTGCTATCTCTAGCTCCACCAGTGCTTTCACAGACTTCCTCCTTATTGGAAATACAGGAACTTCTGGGTGCCCTACATGTCATGGATCTTGATTGAAAGACATGAATTCTGTCTCAGGATCACGAATCAATCCACCACCCCTGCCACCTCAGCTCCACTACTCTTGTACTATATTAGATGGTGCCATATAGCAGGATTTATTTAGGTGGATGTAGATTTGCTATTTACCTCCAAAATTGTTGAGATGTTATCATATATCATTAACCCTCTTTTTACTCCAAACTCTGTGGAGAAGAGGATCATGAAAACCTTCATGGCTACTTACTTCACTTTTCTTTACTGTCTTAATTGTCTGAGACTTGCCCCAGACTGCAAGAAGAAGATATTTCTCTAAATGTTCCCTCTTCTCTACCAAACTCCTCCTGCTATAATTAGCTTTCCACTTCTGCAGTGAACTTAATCTCCTTCCTGACATCAATCTGTGAGTAACTCTTCCTGGCAGTTGGAACAGAGTATAGGAAACAGAAAGATAAGCCTATTGATAAAGCATTTTAAATCGGGGCATTTTCAAAATATGTCATGCCACCATAGTAAGTCTCTGCATCCTTGCAAAGCACACATACTCATGATTAAAGTCCTACCTTTCTGTTTCCCAAGAGCTTGATCATTATCTTCTATTGATTTCCCCAATTTTCTCTCAAGCCCTCCAAATTTGGCTAAAAAACCTGGTTGTTGACTGAAACTTCCACCTTAGAATCCCTATTTGGTCTCTATGAAGACACAACCATTTCCCAATACTGGTCCATTACATCACCCAATGAAGACTATGTGTAGGAAATTCTTACCTTGAATTGAGAAATACTTCTAGTGGACATTGGACAGTGAAGCAGAGATGAATAACTACCTCTTCCTAAATCCAATAGCAAGTAAGGATTAGAGATACAGTCTTATCTGTAGCCAAGTCTCCTTCATTCCCAGGATACTTTAACTTCAGCTGTTTGTTCAAGAGACAAGTATGCCTAAATATGTTCCAGGCGTGAATTAATGCCAGTAGGATTGTTTCCCTCTCTGAAAAAAATGGC